TTTGGGATTTATAAAACGCGTAATTTGTCAGTGTGCTTATAGTAAAATCTCGCCCGGGAACTGATCACTCCCGGTTATCATTTTAAATTAGAGATTTCGCTAGAATCGCACTCGATCAAATTTGGCCGTTATTTGGATCCCGAACTTGGCAGTCGATTTCCGGGAGTTTCGGGACAAAATAAATTGGACAGTGTCAATATTATGGTAGCCAACGTTGAGATTGTCAGGAATGATGGAAAAATGGGAGTTTTTGACCATGTGCGAATTTGGACTAGTAGACCTCCCTCGTTATGATTTGGTCTAATTAATTTGGCCTTTGTCCCTTTTTATGTGCGAGGCTTATTTTGGACCCGTAGACCACTTTCGGTTTTTAATTTGGGCCATCGGATCGCGATTAATATTTGAATGTTCAAATATTTTCTTTTATTCTCCCCCTCTCTCTCTCTCTCCTCTGCCGCGCATGTCCTCTCCGCGCACGTCTCCCCCTGCCCACGTCCCCTCAGCTCACCCACTCCCACCTGCTCTCTCTCTCTCTTCGTTTCTTTTCCTTCTTTCTTTTTCTTTTCTTCTTTCTTTCTCTTCTTCTTCTTCCTTCTTCCTTCCCCGAACTCGCCTGGTTCTGCTTCGTTCCTGCTCTGCTCACCGGCTGCTGCTCGACCGCCCATCCAGCTCCGCCCGACGCCACCCTACACCGGCCGCCGACGCCGCCGCCGTCCTCCTCGCACCGGTGTCGCGCCGCCGCGCAGCAGCCTCCGGCTCAGCCTGCTTCCTCCCCTCCCGAGCGCACGAGCTCGGCCGTCCGCCGCTCCACGATCGCCGACCGCCAAGCAAGCTCGGCCGCCGTCGCGCCCTCCGCTGCCCGCCGCCCCGATCTGCCCGCTCTTTCTCCTCCCTCGCGCTGCGCGCCGGCAGGCTCGCCTTCTTGCCTTTCGCGCCCGGCCGCCATTGTTCGCGGCTCGGGCCGGCACGGCCCCGCTGTCGCCGTCGCCGCCTCCGGTCTTGCCGGTCGCCGCCGTGTTCCACCACAAACAACCGGCTTAAGCCCCCCCCTTCCTCCCTTTCTCTCTCTCTCTCTCCCGGTTTGGCCGTGAGAGGCCTTGAGCCGGAGGAGCTCCGCCGCCGCCGTCACTGTTCCGGCGCGGATTCGTCGCCTCGCCCGGCCGTCCGGCCGTTCCATTTCCCTCTCTATCTCTGACCGTGCCCCTCTCTCTCCCTCTCTAAGCCGTGGATTAGCTTAGACCGTCGCCGTCGCTCGCGCCGTTCGCCGAAGCCGCCGCCGCCGTTAATGTGTTCCGGCGAGGGACCGCCGCTGTCCAGCCGCCATTACCACGTGTTCAGCTCGGTTTGAAGCTTAGGACATCCGGTGAGTTTGACCCTAAGCCCTAATTAGGACAATTTGCATTTCTAGACGGGTTTTAGGGGTTAATTAGGTTAATTTAGGGGTTAAACGGTGGAGGCTGTTAGGGGCTGTTATCGTGGCTGTTTTGGTGGTGAGTCGTGATGATTTAATTGAGATTTAGAATCCCGTATTGTGCTGTGAGTCGGCTGAGCTTGGGCGCTTCGATTCGGATAGAAATTGTGGACTTGGCGGGAGAAACTTATGATCCAAACGGTGGCTGTTAGGGGCTGGTTTTGTGGCGCATTTGGTGACCTAGACTGATAATTTGACTGAGGTTTGGCGGTCCATAACGTGCTGCGTGGTGGCTGATCATGAGAGTTGTGATTTGGATAAAAATTGTGATTTTGGCGAGTGAAATTTGCGAGCTAAATGGTGGCTGTTTTCGTACTGATCTTGTGGCTATTTTACGGGCTTAGTGCGATGATTTAGTTGAGGCTTAATGACCCGTATAGTGCTGTGAAGTGGCTGTGCATAGGTGCCCCAAATTGGGCGAAATTGTGAATTTGGCGGGTGTAAATTGAAGACCGAATAGCGGCTGTTTTCATGGCGGTTTTGGTGGTCTAACGGGATCATTTTAATGAGGTGTAATGACTTGGAATGTGCTGCATGAAGGCTGAAAGTATTGGAATGATTCGGCCCGAGTTTGGGGTTGATTTCGGGTTCAAATGTGGATTATAGTGCGCGCCTCATTTGGTCTTCATGGTGGCTGATTTGAGTGACATTTTGGGGAGTCAAATGGAGTGTTTTGAGAACATTTGTTAGCCTAGGACGATTTGTTTGGTGGCTGTCCATACCGGGTTTGGATTGGTCTATGAGCGATCAATTTGGAGATTAATTGTGTGATTATCGGGAATGTTTAGGTTGGCGGACTAAGTGGCTGATTTGTACTGGGTTGTGATCAATTTTGTGGTGCCGTGTCACGTGCCTAGTGTGACTAAGAATGGAGTCTCTTGCCGGGCCTCGAGTGCGTGAATTGATGTTGACTCAATTGTGTGATTTATGTGCCGTGCAAGAGTGCTTTGAGTTGCTTTCATGGTCATGCTAATATGTTGATTGGGCATGTTGATTTATGAAATTGAATATGCGTGGTGCAAATGCGCATGATTGCATCATGATTTGAGTAAGTGGTGCGGTGCAAGTGAATGCCCGAATGTGAAGTTTATGGCCATGAGTTTGCATCACGAGCATTGGCACGGCATGTGCGTTTACAAGTGTGCTCGAGTGACATGTGCATTGTGATCACCTAAAATGCCCTGATGCGTTTAACGCGGGGTTCAGATGAAAATTGGTGCTTGTGAATGTGTGATCACAATAAACCCTGATGCGTTTACGCGGGGGTAGTGAACCCGTCCTGAGGCGTTTAACGCGGGACGATGCCCGGATTGCCGGAAGACGGCCAACCTGATGCGTTTACGCGGGTTCGGTCCGTATATGGAGATCGGTGTTGCGCCCGATGCGTTTACGCGGGCTAGAGACACTTGGGCACGATGCGTTTACGCGGGCCGGGAAGTCTTTGGATAGTGATAGACCGATGCGTTTTACGCGAGTCGGACCTGATGCGTTTAACGCGGGTCGGAGGAGAAATTGATAAATGGCAAGTATGCTAGAGTGCAAGCGTGCGAAAATGCATTGATGAGGCGTGAGCACGCGTATGAGCACGAGCATAAGCATGACATGCGTTGTGACCAAATGATGTGTACATGTGTCTTTTTTGGGTCCTATGTTTTATGCTTGAATTGTAAGTGCCTAACCCATGCAGGGCAAGGTGAGTGTTGGATTTGGGCCCGAGGGCCTAAGTCAATTATGATTTGCTTGGGGTGTTGATTTAGTACTCGTCAGGAAGTGCACTTTAGCCTAATTTAGGTTTAGGGAATTACTCGCTGAGATTATTCTCACTGTTGTTGAAACCCAATTTTTCAGACCCCCGGCCTTGAGGATGGCAGGCGTATTGAAACGTTTTGGGAAGAGCCCCGGCTAGATATAGTGTTTGATCGCCGAGCCACGTACCCGCTTTTGATTTTTGAGTGTGGGCTGTATATGAATATTGTATATGTTTCCCGATGTCAAAACAAGTGTATATTTATCCGTGCTGGTTGTTGTATGGCTATCCTTGGTTAGGTGTATTTTAATGTACGGGTGGTTTTAATTACTTCCGCATGTGCTTTATATCTCTGTGTTGGGTGTTGGGTCGGCGACGCGTCCTGGGACGTCGCACACGAATCGACCTTTGCGAGGGATGTGGCGCGCCGAGGAGTGCGGGGCGTGACAGAGAAAGAGTATAATTATAGAACAATAACATTACCACGTATGCTACCATATCAATATGAGTTATTTAGAGTCAATAAGCAAACTGAAAAGTTTGATGTATGACATATTTACGTAATATTGCTGGACATTTAGATTTTTTTAAAACACCCAAGAGAAACCGTGCAAATCCCATACAAAGCTCCACTACGAAAAACAAATTTCAATACAATTATTATATATTGCGATTGATTTTCGCCATCGCCTTATTTATAAATTAAATTTAAACAATATTTTCATGATAAATAATGGGCTCTCGTCTCACAATGCAACTAAACAAGCAACGAGGTGGAAGACTTTGACTTGCTTTCAATTGCGAGAATCTTTTTTCCGCCTTATCCCTTTCTTGGCAACTAAAAAAGCAACATTACCAAACAAACCGATTTGCTTTCTTCATTCCCTTATACTTCACCATAACTTTGATACCTGAATATGTAAGATGAAAATTTCTATGTGCAAATTAAGCACACGATATAAGTCTAATTCCTTACACCCGTAAGTGTATGGAGGAGGTTTGGCTAAATTGACCCTAATTGATGTCGTCGTCAGGACGTGGAGCTAATTGATATCGTGAGAAAGATCGTGTTTGGAAAATTGAAAATGATAGGACCCATATAAGTTTCACATGAGTCCCACTAGATTTAGCCGTTTGTAACGAGCAAAGAACGAATGGCGTGTCACTCAATCATTGGTCAAAGCAATAGGCAAGTGAAGAAAAAGCTCATGCAGCTGTGGCGCCACATAAAGTGGGCTCCATGTGCTAATTCAAGTATGAATTGCATATAGACATGGTTCAGACTCATTAAATTATATATTGAATTAAATTTTGTTACTTTAAATTCATAACAAACTATTTTTTAAAATTTGAGCTAATTCACTAAATATGAGTTAAAAAGTAGATTTTTGACCATTTCAACGCCTCCAATGGTGAGAGGCTTTCATTTCTACGGGAAGGGAAAGCAAAATGTTGTCCATCTTCACTTCGATTTGCGCGGCCATGTGATCCCATTACAAAGAGAACTAACAAAAAGTGAGGGCTAGCCGGTTAAAGAGGTAAATTTCCTTATCAAAGACGCGCAAATCCACAGTAGGATTGTGTGTATACGAAGCACATCCAGCTCATCTTCTGAGGCACGAGAAGAAGTAATTCCCAATATGCACACCTTGCAAAAGTTGCCAAGTAAAGTCTACAGGGGGGGGTGGTCTTGCCAATTTCGAGGAAGGGATTTTTTCGGTGGTCTTGGTCAAAAAGTTCAGAATCAAAAAAAGTACGATTGCCTCGTCTAAGAAATGCCATCCACCACCACAAGATTTGCGCGTCTCCTTTGGGGCAAGAGAAGAAGTAAAGCTCTATTTAAAGTCCCAAGTGCTTGTGCTTGTGCTTGAAGAGGAGAAACGCCAATCACCACAAATCACTGAGAGATCGTTTTTGTTCCGAGATATATCTGGTTTTGATAGCTCCGGGCTGAGGCGTGAAGGTGATATCCTTGGATTGCACTGCCTTTCGGGACTCAGACACAACTTGATCTGCTTCAAGGCAACTTCTTCTCAAACACTGAAACCCATCGCAGTAATTTCATCTCTGCATCGCTCCTCGAGGTAAGCCCGACCGTCATTCTCCAGTCTATTGCCATTGATAGGACAAAAATAAATTTGATTATTGCTCATCGCATAATACCTAACATCCTTTAAGGCATTCAGAATATTACATGTGATATTCCCTCGATTTTTTCAAAATCATCACCACATATATTGCTATTTTTTCTTACTACAATCTCCTCGTTTAAACTAATCGGTTATGAATGGTTAGACTGGTTGAATGTGGTGGAATCGCTTGCTAGCCCTTGTCCCGTTGTTGTTTTCAAAGCATTAATGGTTGACTGAACTCTCTTATGACAAAAAGCCTGTTTGATTAAAATTATGAAAATACCCTTCTAGACCCGATTTCGGGTCCATCGACCCTATACGTACCCCAATTCTCAAAAATTACTTAAACCTAAAACATCCAAAATACTTGGGTTTTGCATAAATTCTTTTTTTTTTCTTGAAAACAGTTAAAAACCAGATTTTTCCAAATATCGATCATGCTGGTCTATTCTCTTCAATAATTGCGCAAAACCTTTCAAAGGTTGCGGATCAGAATTGTTAACAACAAAAATTTATCCGAACGGATATGATCGACTAGTGAATTTTTGGATATCCATAAAAACATTGTCCGTTATATTGGCAATTTTCGTAATTTCTGGAAAATGACAGAAAATTCAGATGTTTTTCCGGAAATTATGAAAAATTCACAATTGTACTGTTTTTTTTTCTTTTGCGCTGGTTACAATGGACAACTTGAAAGTGAGCAAAGCTGCTGGTTTCAATGCATTTACACATTTAATATGTGGACAATTTTTAGGTGAACTTTATTTTTGCGGATTGAATTAGAAAAACTCGTCATAAGGTATGGTTTTCACGCGATTTTATTGTTTACAACAAAGACTTGACTTTTATGTGTATATATAGCGTTAAAAGTTATCGACCTACGACGGATTAGATAATATGATTTATGCATGTGTAGGGCCGGAGGAGAATGTAGCATTTACAGGAAGTAAGGACGTCTTTAATAATGATATAATGGAAGATTCACAAGCCGATTAGAGCCACATTTAACTGTTTAACAAAATGGTTTTTGAAGTGTGGATATGAACAGAAGTGGTCATTCCGTACTCTGGTCCACATTGTGTGGCTTGACTTTGGTTTGCCATCTGAAAACAACTTCATTGCTACCAGTCAATTAGCAATAGAGGGATACCTGTCCGTCAATAATAATTCGAGACTTATCGTCTACTACGGTCTCTCTCTCTTTTCTCACTTTATCTTTCGCATTCGGCCTCTCTCTTGCAGAAACCATTTGAGACTATCGTCTACTGATTAGTCTTCACTCGCTTTCTCTGTTCTTTTCCCTCTTGAAAGTTCTCGCCCAGGCTTGTTCAGGGTCTCCTCTTCCCGATCTCGCGCCTCTCGTCGCATCTCAGCTCGCAGAAGGTAATCACTTTTTCATCCCTTATTACCGTGTCGTTTCTGTTGATTCTGTCGCTTTGTTATCGGAATAATCGGCTGAGCTAAGTGTGTTTCCGGGCCCTTTTTGCCTATTGGGGATGTGGGGGTGGCTGCTGAATAGCAGAGGAGGGTCTTCTATTCTCTCTTTTGGAGCCGCTGTTGCCTGTTAACGAGGTATGTCCCCAGCTCAGATTTTACTTCGGTGCAAAAAGAAAGCCCTTTGTTTTTTACTTTAGATGTGGCCAATCCTATGATGGCCTTGCTGGCTGATTGTTAGTTGCATCGTAATTCAGTATTTGATCTTTTGTTGAACTAGAACGAGTAGGTCTGCAAGCGCGCTAGATTCTATTGCGCACAAAATTGCCACATTTCTCTTGAATCCAGAGACCATTATTTTTGCGTTGTGAGGTTTCTCTGTGTTTGAAGGTCCTAGATTAATTTATAGAAAAATAAATCAGAAAAATAAAAGTAGGCTGGTTCGAGGGTCAACTAGTTTGGTTCTCAGTTACAAACACGGAGAACCGATTATTATGGAATAAGTTCCTAATTCTTAGGTTAGAACTTACTCATCCCGAAACCAATCATCCTACGAGTAAGTCTTCTCTTAAGGAGATTTCATTCAACAATTTCAACTCCCTATAGAACATTCCAAATAAGTGATATTCCGTTTTCCTTGAATTGTTGGACCATTAGTCCTAGAAAGTATATTCCCCTTCATCTCTAACTCGTTATCTCCCTTCTTTAGCCAAAAAGGAAAAGAAAAGAAAAAGCTCATTTTCTCCCTTCAAAGCTTTAAAAATTGACCGAGTCTTTACATGAAAAAAAGAAAAGTAAATGAGGAATAAAAATTTACCGTGAAAGTTTGAGCATTTTAACTATATTGCTACTTTGTACCCGCTCTCAACTCACGATAGTTTCAATCATTACAATATAAAACATACCAAAATCCATAGTATGATACTTCTTAAGATCTTTTACATAATATCCAATAGTAAGAAAAAAACCTAGTTGATCTTATGACACACACATGAAAACAATCCAATGAATTGAGCCATACGCGCATATTAGGAGATTCACCTAGCTTTACATCACTCATTGCTTATTCACCTAGCTTTACATCACTCATTTCTTACACCTCTTTTGTTACAAACAATAAATTCATTCTTCCAAATGTGATTAATCAATTTTAACCTGACTTATCACGAATTTAGCTAATAATCCTGTTCTACTTCCATTTAATTGGATAAAAAATCTTTGCGGTGATATTCTCAAGGTGGGCCTTACAGCAAAAATGGGGACAAGCACTCAACGCCATTGTTTCAAACCTTGGTCGTCTCTGATTTTCTTATCTTCTTCTCCTTCTTCCATCGAATTAGTACCTAATTTCTAATCATTCAGACTAACATGGAGAAAGGGCAAAGTCAGAGCAAGGCAAACAAAGAGATGCCCCGTTTCATATCAGGTTGTTCCTTTGCGGTGCTTCTTGCGTCTCTGTGCTTGTATTCAATAATCTCAATAAGAAGAAAAAGAGTGCATAACATACAATATATCAATCAACTTTTTAGATTTGAAAATTTGAGATGAAAGGCTCGGTGATAACATACCAATTCAAAATAAATTCTTTTTACATGGAATTGTAGCATGTGATGCCGACGTGAAAAAATAAGAGAGAAATGATAATGACTATTTGTTCATCTCTACCTTGCATTTCGAACTTCATTAAAAATATGACAATTTTAAATAAAATTAAAGTATGAAATCGCCGAATTTGAACCAAAACATAAAAGAAGTGAAGCAACCAACCCGATACGAATAGAGAAGCAACATTCACACAAAAAGAGAAAAGAACATGAGAGAGAGAGAGAGAGAGAGAGAGAGAGAGAGAGAACAAAGACGGTCTAAGATTGATTGAAGTTAAGCAAGAGGGAGAGTACTGTGTTCCGAGCCATTGGAAGAGAGAGGAACGTATCAGCTTGGAGAAATAAGGCCGAGAGACCTGTACACTTTTAGCAATTCTTTTTTTTCTTCGGAAAAAAGAAATTATGTGAAACTTTCGTCAAGCGGTCCTTAAAGACTGCAAAAATTCAGAGACTTTGGACATTCTTTTTTTATCATTGTTTTTGTAAGCGATCATATTACTAAAGATACAACTGACAATTCATGTTGTGTCATATTAATTGTGTCATGTCAAGTTACGATATAACACTAATATGGCAAAACCCAAACAAGATGTGTTCAATAAACTCGTTGAACTACCACAATATGAACACGACACTTTTACTAAAGCAGGTTAGACGACGTGACATGACAAATGCAATTATTAAACGTGTCACCATACGAAATGTCAACACAATACCATGCAATATGCTAACCTGTATACATGCAAAAAGATGCAACACATAGCATTACATCTAAAGCAAAGAGTAAAATTGATTCCCGTGATATTCTAATTACAAGTGAGACACAACCTTTTGTATTAATGTTAATCCTATTTAAGAGCCATAAAATTTTATCACCCAAAAAGCCCCAAATTTCGAACATACTAAAGCCATAAATTTCAAAATCTAAAAATTAAGAACAAAAAAACTAGACCATGAAAGAAGAGAGGGAAAGTTAAAATTCCTGGAAATATGTTTGGATACATGTTAGGTGGAAATTATGTAAATGGAACTTAATTTCATTGATAGACTTAATTATCCTTCAATCTATTCATCCTTAAAAAGGAAGTAAGGCCAATTTTGGAAGAAAAGTGCAATTTTTGCATTTCCTCTCATTTCTATGCACTTTTAGAAAGAAATGAAGTGGGGGCTCAAAAGGAAGTATTTCCCTTTCATTTAGAATCATTTTCATCGACTACCTTCATAATTCAAACAGCTGGGCAATTGAAATTTTTTCCTCCATTAATATTTTAGCTTTAGTTAATTTTACATATGAGCGATCCCTAAAACTTGAAACCCGCCAAATTAAAAACGTGATTGATGGAAATTTCCTCCAATTAGGAAAGTGCACACATCCAGAGGATGAGTTTTTTCGGGCAACAATTACATGACACTGCATTAGTTTGGCCAATGGGAATGGGATTAGACAGAAGGGGTTGTGAAAATGAGGTGGTGGAGATAGTTAGGGTTGTTTATATATTTGGCTAAAAATAATAAGAGTAAGGTCGAAGATCATGATAAGGATTAGGCATCGTGTGAGCTTATATTCAGAGGAAGATGCATCCATGGAGTTTTCTACATAATTTCAATATCTTAGGTGTGAACTAAAAGAATCCAAATATCATAGACATGCGCGAAGTGATGTAGTTGTTCAAATGTGTTTTAAGGAAGTCGGTAAATTACGCTTCAATCTGTTTAATTTCAAATATGTGTTTCTGAAGAAGTAAATGATATGAGCTTTTTGGGGGCCTCTTCAGGGCCACCTAATCTTCCTCAGTGAAACGACGTCGGCTAACTCAACTGAAGGCCGTGTCGTTATTGTTAGAAATATTAAAATTGTTTTGTCTTTAATACAAACTTGGTCTTCAAGTTTGACAAACTTGGTCCTCAAGTTTGATACAAACTTGGTCCTCAAGTTTGACCAACTTGGTATTCAAGAAAATTTCCTTAGGAGTAGTATAAATAGGTTATTCCCTCCCTATTTGTGTAAGTGTGTATGAAAAGCCATAGAAAGAGAGAGTTGAGAGTTGTAAGAAAAAAGCTTATAGAACTAAGCTTGTATTCCTCTGTGAAAAGCCTGTGCAAAAGGCATTTTGAATATTATTCTCTCTCGTTTTGTGTATCTATGTGCTTCTCACCAAAAACATCAAAGTTTGTCCATATCCTTTTTGGTTCCTACAGTTATTACCTTTCTCAAGAACACAAACCTTCTTCAGCATTGCCTAGGGGAGAAATGGACGTCCACGTTATCCGGAGTGGACCAAGCCAACAAGCATTTGCAGAAAAAACATCTTTCGTTTCAACTTTCCCCTCTCAGATCACCATGGACAAAGAGCAAAGTCATGGAAATGGAAAGAGAAAGAGAGCAGGGGAAAAGAGTATAGAGGGAGCATCCACTTCTTCGTTCGTCTCTCCGGTACCCACAGATGTAGGTAGCGGTCAATATGATGTGTTCTTGAGCTTTAGAGGCTCGGATACCCGCAAGGCATTCACTGATCACCTCTACCATAGTTTGATCGAGGCAGGGATTGTACCGATTTGCGTGTTCAAGGATGATAACAGCATACCAATCGGTGAGGAATTTGGTTCGAAGATTCTCGATGCCATCACACGATCTAAGATTTCGATCCCCGTCATCTCTGAAAATTATGCTTCGAGCAAATGGTGCCTCCGCGAGCTCATTCATATCATGGATCGCAAGAAGAGCACATCACACATAGTGTTGCCCATCTTTTACAAAGTGGACCCATCAAATGTGCGGTATCTAAAAGGAAGTTTTGGGGAGGCATTCCATTCGCGTAAAAAGCATTTTGATGAGAAGGATATCCACGAAGGGCAGCGAGCACTTAGAGAAGTGAGTGACTTACATGGATGGGAATCCGAGAAAGTTGCTAACGGGTACTTTGCTTCTGCCTGAACTTTTCCTTTTTGATAAGTGAGTTTTCTTGTTCACGCGAAACAGATGAATCACAATGGTTTCCAACGGATCAAAAATCAAAGAAATGACAACCCCTCCTATCAATAGTATCATTCACCAAACAATACGCTTAGAAAGGACTCGAATGCTCAGTCTTCCGAAGCTTTATCACCCCCAGATACAATAGACCTCCTCATGCCAATGAAAGTCGGCTCAGTTGAAACGGACTGGGCACTTTCACATTTACCATGTCTAGGTTTGATTTCCACTATCAGTAAACCCCATTGGTAGAGATCTGTAAATCAACTATAAGTCCTCAATTTAGACATGTGTGCTGCCCTAGCCTTAGAGTGGAGTAACCTCCTTTTCTCCTAAACTTTTTTTAATTAAAAAAAATCGATCTCCTATCATTCAACTAGCAGCAATCTTAAGCCTTATAACAGATATTATACTTCTAAAGACTCTTAACGAGCCAGGTGCACCATCTTATTCTATTTCAACAACATCCATCTAACGAAAGAGAAAAAAATGAAACGGCCACTAGCTATCATCCCTCATTGTTATTTGTGAAACCAAAATATCTTGCATGTTAATTGGCCCCATCCATTCTTCACATGTATGTCGGTGTCTTTTGATGAGATTAAGTATAATTACGAAATTATCAATTGAGTTTTGTTGTTGGACAGGCATGAAGGAGAATTAGTGAAAAAAATTAAGAAAAAGGTTATGAGCGAGTTGCGACAAGATTTTCAGCTTGATGTTAGTAAGCACTTAGTTGGAATTGGTGATCATGTGAACAAAATCAGGAATTGGGTAGACACTCCAACCACTAATGCTCGAATGATTGGAATCTATGGCATGGGCGGGATCGGAAAAACGACACTTGCCAAGGTAATCTATAACCGGCTGTCGAATGACTTTGTGCATCGCAGCTTCCTTGCAGATATTCGAGAAATAGCTTGCCGCAACGGTATTCCTTATTTACAAAAGCAACTTATTAAGGAAATTCTACAAATCGAACCTAAAGTTTGGAATGTTGACGATGGAATTAATATAATCAAATCTAGATTCAGAGGAAAAAAGGTTCTCATTCTTCTGGATGATATAGATGACAAGAATCAACTAGATGCATTGGCTAGGGAACATAGTTGGTTTATGGCAGGAAGTATGATCATCGTTACAACTAGAAATGAAGCCGTTCTTGATCAATCTGAATTCGAGGTAGACTACAAGTATGAATTGAATGAATTGGATGAGGTGCAAGCTTTGCTTTTGTTTAACAGACATGCATTTCGCATGGACCATTCTCCGAGGGACTTTGAGGCTATATCTCATGATATCATATCCACCATGGGTGGGCTTCCCTTGGCACTTCAGGTCGTAGGTTCATACTTGTACAAAAAAATGAATCGAAAAGTATGGGAAGATGTGCGGAAGCAATTAGAAGGCCAACCACATAAAGATGTCCAAAAGATATTGCAAATAAGTTATGATGCATTAGAAGATGGACATAAGCAGATTTTTCTCGATATTGTTTGTTTCTTTATTGGCAAAGGGAGCGAAGTGCACAAATTCGCCATGTACATGTGGGAGGACTGTGGGTTTTATCCAAATCAAGGAATTGAAGAATTGAAGTTGAGGTGCTTAATTAAAATTGGAGATGATGGTGAGTTTACGATGCATGATCAACTAAGAGATCTTGGAAGGAGCATTTTTTGTCAAGGACAACCGCTTGACAAACGTAGCGGGCCATGGGATTGCAACTACAGGGGAGCCTCGAGAGTAGTACGGGAAGAATGGGTAAAATATGGCACTCCTTTCTTTTTCTCTCCCTCTTATTTTAATATATTTAATCTGATCAATTCTAGTATTTCATCTAGCATGAACAGATGCTCTTACTTTCTAGTAAAAAAATTTGTGTAAACATCCATTTATGTCCATCATATATTAATCATGACAACTAAATAAATTATAAGTATCCGAAAGATGAAAGAGTTAAATCATTCGATTCGATTTCATTGATATAAATTACATCCGTAAAAATTTAGGAATCGGCAAATAATATGTATTAGGGCCAATTATAAGTGTCCGAATGTAATGTGGTGCTCCTGTGATTTAGGAATCCAAATTTTGATTTTTTTTCTTCATTTTGATTTTGAAGATACTTGTCCCTCTGCTCTACCAGTTATTTCTATCTCTTTTCATTCTTATTTCCTCTTAATAGATAAGATAGCAAAAATCCCCTTAAAAATATTTTCAGTAAAATCTTACTTTTTTTAAGGTTTTAACACGTTCACCTTGCTCATTTTTTATAACAAACATTCCTATCTGCTATAAGTTCTTTTATATTATTTATATTTTTTGGGACAATGCCTCTTTTGTGCTAGAAACCGCTAGACTAACTTGACTATTTATAAAAAAAAAAGAAAAGAAAACTTGACTAATCAAAGGAAATGTCATGCTGATTATTATATCCACACCTTTGTATTCATTATATATGACTTTCAGCATGAAGCCAAAATTTTCAATTATGTTTATCTTTTACTTAAATTATCAATGTTCATGTCATATTATTATAATATATTTGTCCATCTTGATGCCTCATAGGCTCATGACTGATCAGTGGTGAGGAATTAAGCCTAGCAATTAACCAAGAGATGTTGGGCAATGGAAACATCTTTATATTCTTGATATAATTTGAATTAGTTCGTTCCTATGATTCGATATCACACTCTTTTGTTGATCAAATAACTTCTTAATATTAGCAAAAAGAGCACACCATACTGGTGTTTGGAAAAATGAAAAAAAGTCAAATCTATTTTGAACAGACAGATATGTTGAAAGATGATAATTGGTGTCGGAAAAAAAATTAAATGATTGTAAGATGGAAAGATTTTGATTTAACTTTGGAAAATGAAATACTTTTGGGACTAATTTCCAATTGTCTTGACTATTTAAAATATAATTCTATCTATTTTGTTATATCCTATTTCTTCAACTAATTCTAGTGAAATATATGCGAATTGTGTGTAAACTCTTGAGGAAAGTTTGAGGTTTGAAATCCCTTTTCCATATAGTAAACTTTTTAATGTAATATATCGTAAAGATTGGTGTACAAGTGAAAATTATGAAAGATAGCGCGGGGTGATGATTATAACAATTTAGTGACTTTTCCTGCAAACAAACTTAAGAGAAATTATACCCATTGCAGGCTTTTAACTATTTTAAGCAGAGAGACAAACGAGTCAAACAATAAAAGTAAATCAAACCAACCAAAAAAACAATCCTAACCAATTGAACTTTTGGAGGAAAATATAGGTATTATTATTAAAGTCAATCAAAGCCATATGGGATTTTTTTTCATCATATTCAACTAATTAAATGATCTGTGTTATCAGGAAATTATAATAGTATGTTTCAACTTATAAGATGCAAAAAGAAACAGTGCCATTCTTATGCAAATGGACATTTGTATCTTCAGATTTTTTTTGGTAAATAAAAATAAGTGATATTTCTCCATAAACTTTCATATGGCGCGCTTGGCTTAAAGATGTTGCTTATAACCTAAAAAGTGTATTGCTAACCAATGTCACAACATCTCTTTTTAAACGTACTCTACAAAAAAAAAGTTTCAGTTTTCAAAAAAAAAAATGATTAAACACTCCGCAAATATAGTTGATGAAATGAAAATCGAGTCCTTCCTTAGCTACTTAGAGGTGGCCCACCATCACTCTTTAGCAAATTCTTTTGAAAAATTAACACAAGTCATATGAAAATTTACAAATAAACATTTGTACTTTGCAAAATGGTTTCACGTATTTGGTCTTAAATAAAAGTCAAAGTGCATGAGCTACAAAATTTGAAAAAAAAAATCAAAAGATAAAACATTGAGGTGCATTTGCCTTAGTTGTTTTAAAACAATTTACTATTTTTTCTTTATTTTCACGAATTTCAAAAGATCGTCAAAAAAAAAATTAAATGTGAGTTCATGTGTCCATTTTTATACACGGGAAGGATAAAAAGATAACAAAATCGGTGCAAATCCAATTTTTTTTTCAAAAAAAATCAAAAACAAAAAGTTACAAGTTGAATGCCTTCCCCCGTATCCAGACGTACTCAGATGAACCATTTGAAAAAACTTGCAGAGGTCCTGGTTCCGTGACTGGATGCGGGCAGCTACAAGCGGAGACTCTTCTAACGAACTCCTTTATGAAATAAGATGGCTTCAATGGTGGGTCAGGGGAAGCGAATTGGCTCTTCCGACGACCAATTTGCATCTACCGAACTTATCGGTGCTGGAATTATCAGAGAGCGTGATGACAGAGCATCGGGAAGAAGGGAGTTTGATGACGGTAAGATGGGGGAAAAGGAGAGACATCCTCTCTCTCTCTGTGATTTTTTGGGTTTTGTTTTTGTTTAGCCGATCCCCCCACTCATTCTTTTGACAGCTTTATTCTCCTCTTTTTCGTGTAGCTGCCAGAGCGGCTACAAGTTCACAGATGGTGCTTTGGTTTAAGATATACTCGTGATTTCTCGGATTTATCACATCAGATTGGAAGGATGGAGTTTGATCATCATCACAGCAGGCTTCAAGATGGATCTTTGGTTTGGGAAGGATGGGAAGGATGGAGTTTGATCACGGTAAGATTGGGGAGAAAAAAGACATCCTCTTTCTCTCTGATTTTTTGGGTTTTGTTTTTGTTTAGCCGATCCCACACTCATTCTTTTGACAGCTTTATACTCCTCTTTTTGTGTAGACGGCAGAGCGGCTACGAGTTCTCGACCTTAGCGGTTGCAATGGTTTAAGATGTACTCCTGATCTCTCGGCTTTCACGCAGTTGAGGGTTCTCCGCTTGGACCATTGTGCCGGACTAGAGCATCTACACCCTTCTGTTGGCAAACTCAAGAGCCTCATTTCCTTGGAATTGAGCTTCTGTTTTAGTCTCAAGGAGCTACCAGAGGAAGTGTGCGAATTAAAAGAATTAGAAGAACTTGTATTAGATGATTCTGGTATTACAGAGATCCCAACGTCTATCATTGGTTCTCTGAAGAAGCTGAAGACACTGAGCGCCTACCGTTGTGAGTCACTGAGAGAAATCCCTAGCTCAATTGGGGATTTACAGAATTTGCAACACCTGAACTTGAGTGATTCTGGGATTGAAAAGCTTCCCAGTGCTATTGGGGATCTTTCTTCTCTCCAGCACCTTGACCTATGGCGCTGTGACAAGCTCCGGTCGCTGCCACGGCTTTCTAGCCTAATCCACCTAGAAGAACTCCATCTTCTGGGATGCCATCTACTTGAAGACATCCCCGAGCTTCCCTCGAGACTCTTGATACTCTGTATTGAGAAGTGTGGTAAGCTGATATTGCTTAAGCTCAACGGATTGAAGAACTTGGAAGAGCTTTCAATAAAAAGGTGCAGTTCAATTGAAAGATTGGACCTTTCACGGTTAATTCGTCTGAAACGATTACACGCTGAGCATTGCAATGACCTAGTCGAAATTCAGGGCAGTGATAATTTGGAGTTCTTGGAGGGCATATTTATATATGACTGCAATTCCTTTAAAAGGCTTCTCTGTCCAAAACCAGGGCGTTTGAAGTGGTTAGTGGCTGTCAGGTGCAACAATCTAGTCGAAATTCGAGGTCTTGATGGTGCGAAATTCTTAGAAGTGTTGGATTTTATAGGATGCGAATCAATGGAGATGTTGCCAAATTTGACGGGATGTGAGAAGTTACGATCTCTAATTGTTCGAAACTACAACAAACTTACTCAGCTTCAGGGACTTGAAAAGTTGGATTTGATTGATTTGGATATTTCTGGTTGCGACTCATTGGAAGCAATCTTGAAATTATCTTGCACGCACGTTATTAGAAGTTATGAATGAGAGCTGTGTTGTGTTCGCTATGGAAATGTTATCTTGCAGTGATAATGATGTGAGGAATCTTATATTACAACAGTGAGACGAGTCATGTTTCTTCAATAGAGATAAATAAGCAGTGAACAATCTTTTTTCTTTTGAGATTCATGACCTACTTTATCTTCTTTTCACACGAAGGTTTTCCATGGCATGGTTATGTGCTTTCTTTAAATTGCTAGTCTTACATAATTGAAGGAGTGGGGGAGTTGCTCATAGAAGCTAACATGATGCTTCAGCCAAGATCAAAATGTAGAACCAAATGTCAATAGAAGGCATAGTAAGATTCTTTATCCTGGAATGGCCAGTGTGAGCGAATAGAGTAACAGTTTTCTCGAGGCTCTCTTTTTTTAGAATGATTTGCTCCACACCGGGTATCTATTTGATTGATTTTGGAAACTCTGGATTTGCCTCTGTATAATTGCTGTTGATTACGTTATAGCAATGTTTTTCGTTTACACTTCCATTGGCAGCTTCTGTAGACTGCAAATAGATTGTAGCTTGCAAGGCAAGAATGAAAATATCAACAAAGGTAAACAAGAATTACCTAGTGATTAATAGTTCCCCTATCGATAAACCCGGGATTTGAAATTTTCATCTAGAGGCCGATGGACTTCTGCTACTCATTATTGTATACTATGCCCAGAATTTCCCAAAGTCGAAAGTTCATATTTTCTTTGAAAAAAGTCCTTGGCCATTTTGAGTTCCTTTGCGAGTTCTTTTGTATGTCAAATTTGACTAATGGCAGATGTCCGGTTTGGGACAATTGCCTTCCGATTTTCCGTGATGAACAAAAACCCTGTCAAGTTTCTTATTGTTCCCTTGCTGTCCTGCATTAATTTCCCAGAAGAGCATCACTTTCCAGTAAATATGATGAACTGAGCTAAAATAAAATTCAAGGTTCAAGTGCTTCTGGTTGGTGACAAAAAAAAAATGTTTAAAGTAGTTTTAGCTAGTCTGTCATATATGAATGTAGACCACCTTGACATTACTAGTAGTCAAACTGTTGTTTTGAAAGATTATCAAGCAAGGTAAACTATTGCTGCTTCTATGACAGGTTTGGTTGGTCTATGTAACGATCTAGGCTTACTTTGGGACTTCAATTCAATTAACTGTATCGATGACCTTTTGCATTAATGGGCAATTTTTTGCCCATCTCTGAAACAAGCTGGGACAAGGAGCTCAAGAATTTGCTAATTAGTTTGCATCCCGTCTGATCCTATTGTTGTCATGGAATTGCTTTATCACATGACTGATTTGGGTGTGGCTGACTGGGCTGAGGAACTTCAAATTCCATACCTGAGACCGATCAAAATAAAGAAAAGGGATTTTGCAGGGGAAGCATCAGCAACAGCTGAGGACACTCTTGTGTGCCAACCTTGAAGACGCTCCGGGGTCGACTGGAGTGTCCCAAGGAAGTTTTGATGCTTCTGAATTTTCAAACACTTGATCTGATCTCTACTTCACATCCCTGAATGATTGTAAATGTATTTTTTTCAATTAAATATGCTTTCTGTACGCTCAATAGGTTCTAGCTCTCCTTTAATCAAATGCTAAGCTGCTGATTTTTTGTATGTTGCCCTGATGCAGAGTTGTCCGATGCGGTTGTATTCTAATGATATCATGCTCGAATTGATGAGGCTCTGCAGGGGGAGGTATGCACTGCTGGGCTCCTCCATATCTATCAGTTTATTCATGTGATGATATCCTTTGAATGTTGTCATATAGGTTTCTGATTTGATAAGCTCAGTTCTCATGTATGCAGCATTGGATTTGTAAAGTTGAAATTGACCTCCTTGCAAACTATCCCGTATTGCTGATTTTGCTAATTGGATCTTGCAAAATAACCCAGTAGCAATTCATCTTTCTGTTCTGTAGTTTAGGCACTTCACCTTTTCAGCATAATTTTATTAACTTCAATTCCATTCCCAAACACAAACAGGGAAAGTGTTGCTAATTGCTTACTTCTTTTAAGCCTGTTGGTTTCTTTTTCATCAGCCAGCTAATGAAGTCTCTGTTCATTGTGGTCCAACTCCGATTGGTGTCGATGTTTACGCATTTGTACCTTATCTCTCATGGGGTAAATTCTGATGCTACAATCTTGGATATCTTCATTTATATGATAATTAGTCAGTGCTATCTTCCTTGTGCAGATTAAAGCTGCATTTGATGAAACTCGGAGAAAGTCCCCAAACACCAGGGGTTGGAGATACGAGCAAGAATGAGCTATGTCAGTACGGAAAGGCATTCCAAAGTTCTTTGCTATTGGCGTTTATCATTTGCTCCGTGTTGTTAATACTCTTCAAAGGATTCTTGATATAAGACGACCTCTTCTCGTGTGGTGTATCAGTCCTTTGCAAGCTTTGAAATTGTGCTATTCTTTAGCAAAGGCTGCATCATAAATCACTTGGAGAAATACCGCATGTGCAGGTGGTTCTATATGTGAAGTCAAGCATAAAATGAGATTTGTTAACAAGATTACCATTTAGATGTCCACTTCAAGCTACAGTTTTGTGACTGGGAGAGACTTTTTCCGTGGAAAAAGCAAATGCTGTGGAATAAGCAAATATTCTGTCTATTGCAGCCAAGAGTTTCAATCAAAAGGTTTCCAAGAAGACAGTAGTTTCTCATTTTGGACGAATTTTGAACACAAAAAAAGGCATTCATTAGTGTAAAATCATCTCTCTGGTCTGGTTACCTCGGAAAATTCATATGTAGGCATTTTGCAATCACTTTGGTCGTGTAATTTCAAACTTGATTTATTTAAGCATGAATCTAAAAGCAGAAGAGACACAACCATGTATATTTTCATACCTAAACCAGGTAGAGAGACCAGTTCGTTTTTGAAGAGCAGCATTACTTTTTCCTTTCGAGATTCTCTCAGGTGGACGAATTGGTGGTTCGCGTAAAAATTGCTGTTTAAATTGTTTAGACAAGGAAGGAGGCTACTAGTAGAAGCTATAACATAGTGTGTTTATTGCAGAGAAGAGGAGAAGAAAATGAAGAAGATCATAGGGAAAATTCCAATTAAGGACCCCAAGTGGGGTCAAATTCTCAAATAAGGACCCAAAGTGAATATTGTGTCAAATAAGGGACTGAAGTGCACAATCAGGTCTCAAATAAGGACCCGAAGTGCCCAAAAAGTCTCAAATAAGGACACGGGTCCCAGTAGGCCAAAATACCCGCCAGTAGGCTAGGAAGTTCTTGTTAAGTCCAGGAACGATAAATTTTCATTTTTTTTATTATTTTTTTCTGTTTTTTTCTTTTCCTTTTCCTTTTCTTTTTTTTTCTTCTCTTCCTCCATAGGCCATAGCCGGGCCGGAGGTCGCCGCTCAGCGAGGCCGCCTCTCTCTGGTGCAGGCGAGGTCGCCTTCGCCAGGCCTCGCCGGCGTCGGGCGAGGCCGCCTCGCACAGGCTGGGCGAGGCCGGCCTCGCCCAGATCGGCGAGGGCTCGGCCCGCCGACGTCGGCGGTCGCCACCTCGCCGGCGCCGAGGCGGCCGGCCTCGCCCGGTTGCGGGCGAGGTCGAGCCTCGCCGGCGTCGGGCGAGGCCGGCCTCGCCCGGATCTGCGCGAGGCTCGGCCTGCCGGCGTCGGGCGAGGTCGCCCTCGCCGGCGTCAGGCGGCCGGCCTCGCCCGATTGCGAGCGAGTCGAGCCTCGCCGCGTCCGGCGAGCCCGGCCTCGTCGCTGGCCTGGCGGAGCCGAGCCTCGCCGGCGTTCCGGCGAGCCCGGCCTCGCCCGATTGTGAGCGAGTCGAGCTTTCGCCCGGATGGCGAGGCCTCGGGCCCGCCGGCGTCCGGCGAGGTCGCCTGTTTGCCGCGTAGGGCTGAGGCCGGGCCTCGCCCCGAGATCCGGCGAGGCTCGACCTCGCCGTAACCGGGCGAGGCCTACGCCCGGCTTCCCAGCCCAAAGGAGGCGGCCTTGCCCGGCCCGGGGCGAGGCGGCCCTCACCCGACGCCGGCGAGGGCGGCCCTCGCCCGACGCCGGCGAGGGCGGCCTCGCCTGAGGCCGGCGACCTCCGCCGGCCCCGGCTATGGCCGGTGGAGGAAGAGAAGAAAAAAAAAAGAAAAGGAAAAGGAAAAGAAAAAAAACAGAAAAAGTAATAAAAAAGAAAGTTCTGTTCCTGTGGAACAATGTAATCTCTTCTGCCGGCCGGCGGAGTATTTTTGGCGGGACCTGTGTCCTTATTTGAGACTTTTTGGGCACTTCGGTCTTATTTGAGATCGATTATGCACTTCGTGTCCTTATTTGACACAATATTCACTTTGGGTCCTTATTTGAGAATTTGACCCCACTTGGGGTCCTTAATTGAAATTTTCCCAAGATCATATCAAAGCCGGGATGGGAGAAGGGGCGTCACAGTGTTCGGCTGCATCATCAAGTTGAAATTGGGGAGAGCGTGGCAATCTTAGGATCCACAAGAGAATTGGGATCGTGGTAGAAGAATGTGGCAATGGACTGGACCAAGAGCCGATGGGTATGTGAGTTAGAACAGAAAGGAGGCGAATCTGTCAAATTAGAAGAACTTGTATTAAATTTTGCTGATATTACTGAGATTGCTACATCTATCGGTTCTCTGAGGAAGCTGGAGAAATCGAGTGCCAGCTGTTGTGAGTCTCTCAGAAAAATCCCTAGCTCAATTTGGGATTACAGAATTTGCAACATCTGGACATTAGTGGTTGTGGGATTGAAAAGCTTCCTAGTGCTATTGGAAGGTTAAAAATCTGCGCACTCTAAGTCTCCTATCATTTTTTTGCGCATGAATCTAAGCGCAGAAAAGACACATTTGTGTACATTTTCACACTTGAAACCTCTTTTTCTTTGGCGTTGGCTACGGTTGAAGACTATTGGAAAGTGTGGACAAAATTTTTGGAAGAGTGAAAAGAGCCCTCCCCAAACTCATTTGGTCTGAACAAAAAACTTTAAAGGGTCATCTAATTGGTTAATAATCAGACTCTACTACACCAAATTGTGTACTCTGACTCTGATTAGATAGAGCTCAAGACAAGGCCAAGTAGCTTGTTAAGCCAAGTTCAATTATGTAAGTACTAACACGTATATAATGCGGTTCGTGTTTAAAATACTTGCTAAACGTACTTAACATAAAATAATATAATTTTCAAAATATTGGTCAAACATTACATGAGAAAAGTCGCAAGTAAAGTCAATGTATCGACTCTACGCTTTATTTACTTTATTGCTTAACAGGTGTCTAGGGAAATTAATCCAAAGGGCAATAGCTTTGTGTTTGGCTACTTATAGAACATTAGTTACAACCTTATTCGCTGGACTGATTTGAAGTTGGAAAACCATGAATTGACCGGATAACAGGATGAATGTGTTAAACCAAGTGAACCAATTCGGTTTTGTTCATGGGTTTTAAAACTTTTCTTTCTTCTGCTTCGATTTCATGCTAGCGATTTGCTTCTAGCTTGATTTTGAAAGTTCTAGTACATTTTACATCAAGATCCTAGAAAATTACAGCCATTTGAACAATAACTACTTAAGTTTTGATAGGATTAAAGAGGGTGCGCTTTGGTGCTTTTCGGTTTGCCTCATTTTGTAACTCCGAGCTCGACAGGACGGTACTGGAAATATGAAAGCTGTCCTCAAATCAGAATGGAACTATAGAAGTCCTTTCGGTTCATTTAACACCTGCAAACTGCATATTAGAATATATAGCTTCGGTAGTTTGCCATATGATGAATCATATAACGAAGAGGAATCGAAATAGACAAATTGAGGAAATTAAGGGGTTAAAGAACCCCAAAAGCGGGGGCTTAAACAAAATTTGGCCAAAAAAGAGTTCTAGAAAACGAAATTGACCATGAAGTAGATCTAAACGTCAAATACCACAATGAAAGCAGTCCTCTTATTTTGCAATCAGCATCATGTTGTTGAGTAAAGCGCTTACTGAAAAGAGGAGAAATTAACAGGTCAGGCAATTTTTACTTTGCATGGGCATGCATGCATGTGTGCTGAAACGTGTTGCAGATAAATCAGAAGGTAAGGAAATTCAAAAAAAAAAAAATCGGCAAATGTAAATATATATGAATATGACATAATTTGTCATCTCATTTTCCTTTGTTTTGAATGCTGGAGATCGATGAATGAAACAATGATTTGAATGAACATTATACAAGAAAGATCAAACATCGTGGACAAACGTCTCTGGTTCCTCTTGACTGATTTCATCCTTTTCTCTCTTGATGATGATGAGCATGATATTCTGTAATTTCTACGTATTAAAATCAACGCACAAAGCTCGAGCATTTGCACTTCAACCATCGGAACCCTTGTTTGAAAGAAGCCTTGAACTTGCCCTCTGACCGAATAAAGCTTGTATCTTGCCACCCTCCTCTGCCTCTTCTCCAGGTCATTCCACCACGACGGTTTTATCGACTTCAAAAACAAAAGAAATAGGCAAAGGCCAGAGTCCATTACGACTTACAACATCAGGTTTGTCTATTCCCATCCCAAAGGCAATGGTAGCACATACAATCTGGACCTCTCCAGTATGCCATTTCTTTTGAACAGCTACTCTTTGACGGGCTACTAATCCAGCATGATAGTACACCGTCTTTATACGACATTTCTCATTCAAGCATTTTGCGACGTCAACACATTCACCCTTCGAAAGGCAATATACTATGCCACAACAATTAACACAACGATTCTTTAGCATCTCTCCAAGCTGCTTCAGTGGTTCCTTGATCTTAGCTATGACCCCTCATATTTTACATTTGGTCTGTCAAAGCTTGTCTCAAGAACAAAAGCATGGGGAATCCCAAGAGCTTTTAGGATATCCTGTGATGGATGTATAATTCAATCAGAACAAACAGATTATTTCAACATAATCAGGAGGTTAACGTGTAAGTTTAGTACCTCACAAACTGACTGAGTGGCAGCTGAAGTTAAGGCCATCACTGGGACATACGGAAAGTTTTGCTTGAGACATTCCACTCCCCTATAATCTGGACGAAAATCATGTCCCCATTGACTACAATAATGACAACCACGAAAGTGACAATCAATAAGCTTTACTCGTTAATCAGTCAAATGTAAAAGAAAAGCTCAAACTAGTAGTAGGTTCCTTTCATGAGATCACACTGGCAGAGCAAATCCAGTTAAGACCTTGTAAGAAACACAATCAATGACCTCATGGGTGAACCTTTGCCTTTCTCAAGCTGATAATATATAGTATAACCGTCAATAGAATAAATAGGGACTCAAGAACCAGCTTAAGAGACTGAGTGTCATGCCAAGCATAGACAGGAGATGGGATCCTTATCCAAGTTTATGCTGGTTCCAATTACTTAAGGAAGTAATCTCCATTGGAGCTTATTTAAGTTGTGTCTTCTTTACTCAATATAATGAATGATGTGCCACTAAGTGTTCCCAAATGACGGAACCTAGATCATTTCCAAAGTTCAAACAAGGAACACTGCATTCTGTCATATTAGAACTTCACAGGGGTCAGGGCTTCAGAAGGTCTAGTGTAACACTGACAAATTAATTAGGCTAGAAACACTGAAAATGCAAAATTGTTTGGAAAAAGAGTTCAATTTTGTCTGATGCCATACATTGGAACTCATGGTTATGTACCTAAATCACTTCCTATCACTTAATCTTCATTTGAAAAACATTTCCTTCCTTAGTTGACGACCTTCTCAATAGAGCTAAACAAAGCAGATTAGAAGATCATGTTAAAGCTTAAATTCTGACATACAGGTCTACCCTTTTACATTTAGTTGGTGGAACCATTGATCAAAATGCACCTGGCTTGTGCTCTAAACATTGTCTCCACACATACTTCTACATGCGATCATTACACAAACGAAATAATGTTAACATTCACTAACCTGGTAACATAAACTTTCACCACCTCCAATGGGCATGAGAATGAAGCAATCTTGCTTGGTTACAGAAGCTTCACAAGCCTGATGCTGCATTGGTTGAAATGCCTTGTTTCCGAATATTACAACATTTTCCAATTTTATGTCATCCAAGGCTTGCAATTCCTCATAACTCAGAGTCCCTTGTTTGCATGTCGAAATCCGAGAGCAATGTCCTTTATTTGAAACTGAAGATATCGAACCTTGAGTGACAGTGCTCTTACAGTCCTTCAACACAAATAAGCCTCTTCAGCACCATAAATAGTTTCTGACATGGATTCATGGAAAATGAAAATTGTGCACAATGAAATCCCAAGCCTTCATTTCGCAAAACACTCCCATCAACGATGCTGGATGCTAAGTTCCACACTTGGATGATGTACTATACTCTCAAAATATTTGAGAAATATAGGTATTGTTACATCATCCTAAACAAAAACCAACTGTTTTTATTGACCAGACAGTTCTAATATAAGTCATTTTAGATCTTAAAGATGTGGAAGTAACTGGCAAAAGTTAGGAGTGTCTATTATACATTTGATCTGATGAGAGCCTTTGTAAGCAATTTACTAAATGCTTTTGTACAGGTACCCTGTGTAAAGTCCTTTGCTGTGAGCAGAATTACAAGCAAACTGGAAATGATCAAGGAAAGACATAATTTTAAGAGCAAAGGACGGTGACACACAAATTTAAGGGGTTGGGCAATTTCGTCTACATCAACGGGAGAAGTTGATTCACAATGACCAAGAGGGAATTACAATAAGAAATAAATCAATTTCTCACTAACCAAAAGACTCCACAAGCTTCGGCCAATCCCAAGCCAAATCTAGGTCCATGAATTAAACACTCGAGCCACAAACTTAATAACTATCGACCAAATTAGTTTTGGGCATGGGAAACAACGTGCCAAGCCACCCTGCTTTTCTTTCTTTTTCTTAATCCCTTCAAACTGGTGGGGCCAGAAAGGAGTGAGACAACTTCACAGTTTTCAAAAGCATACCATGGATTCTATAGAACAACTGGCCAGAAGTTGAGTGGATGAATTGCCCGGAGTACTGCTTTGATCAGGAATATAGCATGTGGATTTCCTGCCCATTTTACTGCCAAATATCTAATATATGTCTTCACTGTCAGCAGAGGAATCCACCTCAAGAAAAGTTTGATTTCTCAGGTTGTGGAGAATCTTCTATAATATTAACATCGTGCACAACATTGCATTCGCCGTCATAAGGGATATCTTGGCCAAACATATCAGCCAAAACTTCACAAGCTTCTGATTTCGCAACTTACAAATCATCCGAATCCTCAGTATCTTGCATGGTTTCTGAGAGCAATGTCTTTTATTTGAAACTGATGATATTGAACCTTGAGTGACAGTGCTCTTACTGTCCTTCAACAGAAATAAGCCTCTTCAGCACTGAAATAGTTTCTGACATGAATTGACATGGAAAATGAAAAATGTGTACAAAGAAAGCACAAGCCTTCATTTACGCAAAACATTCATATCAAAGACGCTGGATTACTAAGTTCCACGCTTTGATGATCTGCTATACTCTCAAAGTATTTGAGAAATATAGGTATTTGCACATCGTCCAAAACTAAAATCAACCTTTTTATTGACCAAAGAGTTCTAATAGGTCATTTTGGATCTTGAAGACCGTGGAAGTGAATGGCAAAATTTAGGAGTGTCAATTGGTTATTTGATTGGATGAGACCTCATAAGCAATGTGCTAAATGCTTTTGTACATGTACATTGTGTACATCCTTTGCGGAGTGCGGAATCACAAGCAAATTGGAATCAATCAAGGAGAGACTAAATTATAAGAGAAAAGAACAGTGACACGCTGATTTAAGTGGCTTGGCAGTGTTGTCTATGTCCATGGGAGAAGCATACCATGGATTACAAAGATCATCAGGCCAGAAGTTGAGTGGATGAATTGCTTTCGGTACTGCTTTGGTCAGGAATATAGCCTGTGGATTTCTGCCAATTTTACTGCCAAATATATCATCTTCGTCTTCACTGTCAGTAGACGAATCCACCTCAAGAAAAGTTTGATTTTTCTCAGGCTGTGGAGAATCTTCTATAAGAGTAACATCGTGCACAACATTGCATCCACCGTCATTAGGGATATCTTGGCCAAACATATCGGCCAAAACTCCACAAGCTTCAGATTCCGCAGCTTGCAAATCATCCCAATCCTCAGTATCTTGCATGGTTTCGGCAAGTTCTGCTAGAAAGTCATCACCACAATGCTCCACAGTGATAAACTCTCGACCTTCGTCCCCTTAAAAAAAACCAAAACGAAGAACAAGATGATTTTGCAAGTCAATAACACTACTCCACCAAACCCACAAAGAAATGACAATGAGATTAACGCCCAACGAACAAAATTCAACCAGCTCCGGTCCATTGAAATCCAAAGTAGACCATTTCGCAGCCATCGCCAGAACACTGACTAACCGCAGTAAGTCTCCTTATCTATGAATGCACAATCAATCAATTCAGAAATCATCCAGGCCCTAATCAGCAGATACCACCCAATTTGGCCAATAACCAAGAAAAGCCCACCATCGAAAGTAGCCTCAACTCATCAAACTGGAACCGTGCTAGACATTTTGCGCGTCAGTAATACCACTTCACTAAGCCAGCTCCGGATCTATTCAAACCTAGAGCAGACTATTCCACGGCCATCCTCATCGTGGTGGACGATGGAAATACCTACACAACCTCTGCAAACGCTAATCTCAGCATGAAAAAACACGCGATGAAGAGACCATTCGAGTTACCGTAGAGGGAAACGAGGCGGTCCAGGCACTTGGTGGCGGACTGTTGGTCGAAGCCGAACTCGAGAGCCAAGCTCAGCAACCGAGCTTTCTCCACCTCTTCCAACCCCCCGATCCTCCATGGAATCTGATGCACCTAGGGGACCGGCGGACCCGTTATGCGACTGGACGAATCGGCGAGTTTGAAGTCAACGATATCAGATTGAGCTCAAATTTGGTCGGCTGAAGCGAAACGGCGTGCTGATCAATACTCACGGCCTTTGGCCGTGATTAACGATGGATTTTCGCGATTCGAGATTATTTAGATGGGTTTTTCGATTTTTTTAGTATTTTTTTATGAGTTAATTTAGTAAAGGGCAGTTTCGTAATTTTACGTTTTGATATTTACTAATCCTAGTAAGGTTAGGTTTGAGGATATATAAACTTGTTTTAGGGTTTCGTTTTAGTAGACTTTGAATATTTTGATTGTTAATCATTTGAGAGAACAGTTTGTTCCTCGTTATCTTTCGATTCTTCTGTTTAGCCTAATTTCTATCGCGCTTCGGCATCAATTGGTATCAGAGCACAGGTTGCTTGAATCAATGGCTGAACAGAATCGCGGTCGTGGACGGCGGGCTCGTGGTGGCCGGGGGCGTGGAGGCGTTCCTGAAGTAGACGACCAACCGCGTCTAAGAGATCTGCGAGACGTAGAAATTGAAGAACAGAGAAGACGAATCCAGGATTTGGAGCGACAACTTGCGGAGGCGAGGTTGGGCGTTCAATCCGAAGAAGGAGCGGAATCTGAGGATTCATCCGATGATGAAGAGGAGGACGTAAACCCTTTCGAGGTTCTGAACCAGGGGCGGAATCGAGGAGTACGACCTGGAAATCAGCGTTCTTTACAAAATTTCGGAATGAAGATCGAGATTCCCGAGTTTAATGGTAAGGCTCATCCTGATGAGTTTATTGATTGGTTGCATACGGTAGAACGGATTTTTGATCTTAAAGACCTAACTGAGGGGCAAAAAGTGAAGTTAGTGGCTATTAGGCTGCGAAAACATGCTTCGATTTGGTGGGAACACGTGAAAAAGCAACGCGCTAGAGGGGGAAAGCCGAAGGTGGATCGCTGGGATAAGATGAAAAAGTTATTGCAGAAAAAAATTTTGCCTACCCATTATAGGCAAGAGGCGTTTATCGAGTATCATAACGTCAAGCAAAGTGATAAAACAGTTGAGGAATTTACAGAAGAACTTGATCGCTTGCGGATGCGTTGTGATGTGGCGGAGGAAGACGAGCAGACGATTGCACGATATCTGGCAGGGCTGCGATATGAGATCTCTGATGTTATCCAATTATAGCAGTATTGGACATATGAGGATGTGTGCAGACTAGCCCTAAAGGTGGAGGGGCAGTTTAAAAGAAAAAGCAGTAATTCTAAGTGGTCAGGCAGCAGTTCCAAGTGGTCAGATAAAGAATCCCAAGGAAAAGCGGGAACATCTGCAGTAAATTCGACATCGGTCACAGTTAAGGATGTGAGTTCTAAACCTGCATCCAACGAGGGGCGGAGTAGTGCTTGGAACTAGCGGGGAGGAACGCTATGCCAAGCGGTGTTTCAAGTGTCGGGGATTCGGGCATTTCTTCTCGATTGTCCGAACCGACAGATTGTGACGCTTGTAGATAATCCAGTCTTTGATGAAGGTCCAGTTTATGATGAATCTGAAGGCGAAGAAGAGGATGCGGATGCGGAACAGGAAGAGATTATCTATGCTGATTCTGGTGAGTCCCTAGTCGTTAGAAGAATATTAAATGTTGCTGTAGCGGATGATGATTCGTGGCTTAGACATAATATTTTTCATACTAAGTGCACTAGTAGAGGAAAAGTATGCAACATGATAATAGATGGTGGGAGTTGCGAGAATGTGGTGTCCACGACTATGGTGGAAAAGTTGGAGTTGAAAACAGAAGATCATCATCAACCATACAAGCTGTCGTGGCTTAGAAAAGGGAACGAGGTGAAGGTGAGCAAAAGGTGTCTTGTGCAATTTTCAATTGGAAAAAATTACATCGATGAGGTGTGGTGTGATGTAGTCCCAATGGATGCTTGCCATATTTTATTGGGAAGGCCGTGGCAGTTTGACAGAAAGACACAGCATGATGGTTTCAGAAATACCTACGCATTCAAGAAGGATGGCCGAACTATTACCCTAGGTCCTTCGGATTTGAGAAAGGAAGTGAAGAATAATCTACTGTCCATGTCAGAATTTCAAGAAGAGGTAGTGAACGCGCCTGGGCTTTTTGCCATTGTAGTGATGGAGCGGAATTCTGACAGTCCCGAAATTCCTACCCAAATTCTGCCCTTGCTTGAGGAGTTTGCTGATGTCGTACCGGAAGAGTTGCCACCTGGGTTGCCGGGTGAGCACAATGTTTCTGGAACTTTTAATGTAGCAGATTTGTCACCTTACTACACTGAAGAGGAAGAAGACCCTGAAGAGATTGACGACAATGAAGACGAAGCAGATTCGAGGGCGAATCTTTCTCTAGCAGGGGAGGATGATGCACCTAGGGGACCGGCGGACCCGTTATGCGACTGGACGAATCGGCGGGTTTGAAGTCAACGATATCAGATTGAGGTCAAATTTGGTCGGCTGAAGCGAAACGGCGTGCTGATCAATACTCACGGCCTTAGGCCGTGACTAACGATGGATTTTCGCGATTCGAGATTATTTAGATGGGTTTTTCGATTTTTTTAGTATTTTTTTATGAGTTAATTTAGTAAAGGGCAGTTTCGTAATTTTACGTTTTGATGTTTACTAATCCTAGTAGGGTTAGGTTTGAGGATATATAAACTTGTTTTAGGGTTTCGTTTTAGTAGACTTTGAATATTTTGATTGTTAATCAATTGAGAGAACAGTTTGTTCCTCGTTATCTTTCGATTCTTCTGTTTAGCCTAATTTCTATCGCGCTTCGGCATCAGAATCTCTCAACCCTCTTGGATGCACGAGCCAGAATGGAATCGAATTGAGCCGTAGTCTCTATCTCTCTCTCGAGAGAGAGAGCGCGCTCAAAGTGCTCTTGTTCGAAAACCGTTGGCGGAGATGGCGGGATTTGACGTTTGTTTTCCCTTACTTCCATTTTTATATGCTAGAGAATGGGAGAGATTGGAGCCATATTTTCTAGATTTTTTTTTTGAAAATTCTGTTTTCGCACCTGAAGTTTGTTTAAGCTCTTTTTTTTCCCCGTACAAGTTTTTCTGGTTTCATTTGACACCCATGGGTCTGTATTTTTATTTATTTATTTCCTGGGTTGGAGTCATTGTTGGCCTCGGTGCTCGCTTATAATCTTCTCGAGGCGAGGAAAAAGAGTGTCAGAGCAATGACGAAGCATCCACATCTTCTTTCGTCTCTCTCCAACACCGACAGCAACAGGAGTGGGAAGTGATCCCCATGATGCATTCTTGATCTTTAGAGGCACCGACAATCTCATAAATGAAGGAATTGTACCAATATTTGTGTTCACGGATGATAACGGCCTCCCTGTTGGCAAAGGGTTGGGTTCCCGGCTCCTTAATGCGATCACATGGTCTAATATTTTCTGTGAAAGCCTAAGGTTCCATGCATGTTACCTAGTCGGAAGATATAAAAATGACCAAGACAAATAATTAGTGAATAGTGAGGCAGGGTTATCAATTTTTCTTGTTTCAACCAAACAAGATCTACTAGTTGTCCTCAGCCTAGATCGATATAAAGCGAAAGTGCGACAAAATTTAATTATGATCGACCAACAAAAAAAGTAAATCTCATTTATGATCCTTTGAAATTTATTAATAACTCTTCCTGTGACTGTCGTGGAAAAGTCAATGATTGTTGACTAATAAAACATTTTCAAGACGCAAATCTTTTAATAATGGACAGTAAATCACGTTCCATTCTTTAACAAAATCATTGCTTTTTTTTTTGGGTCCATTTGCCTATGCAGCATAACCCATGTATAAGTGATCGCATTTGGGCGATTTCTTAGGCTAGTCATAATGTTAAAGAACTTCAAAAGCCTCTACCACTAATCTTACTGTGCGATAACTGTGGTGTATATGACAACATCTAGCTCCCCAGCCTCTAGTCTTCCGTATGCTTTCGCAATCGAATGCCTACCCTAGCGTTACCAACGAGCCCATTGATCGAAGTGTTAAAGCTCGCAGTTGTGGGTTCCAGTCCAAGATTGGACCCTTTCAAATTGGCAGAGGCAATTCATCAAAATGCCGAGAGTAAAAACGTTGGGAGTCATTCCCTTCGAATTCATCCGATCAATCATCTCAATGGCGGTGGCGTAATGCTTCTTTATCTTCTCCACAACCTGCCAGAGTTGGGTGAAACGGGGAGGTGAAGGCAAAGGGTCCATCCCAATCATCCTCTTCAAGTAGAATAAAGCCGTAGTTAGATATCTCGGTGTGTGCTCATTATTGAAGATGGATTCGGTGATTGGGCACTGATTTTGGTTTAAAGAAGTCCCGGATTTGCTTTTTGGGCGTGTGACCCCTAATCTTGTTCTAATGATACATTTTATTATCTGAAGCTCGTTTTATTTTGAAGTTGTCTGGAATTTGTCTTATTATTTCTCTCTTGTATTTTTGTGGAAATGAATAAAATGTTACTTTGACCAAAACAAAAAAGTAACCTAAACACATCAAGCTGGAACAGTGTCGGACATTTTGCTCATCAGTAAGACTACTTCACTAAACCCGCTCTGATCTATTCAAACCTAGAGCAGACTATTCCACAGCCATCGTCATTGTGTCGTGGGGACGAGAACTACCTTCATAATTTCTGCAAACACTAATCAACAAGAAAAATAGGTGGCAAAGTGATGATTCATGTATCTTAAAGCGAAACGAAATGGTCCAAGCACTGGTTGGTGGACTGCTCATCGAAGTCGAACTCGAGAGCCAAGCTCAATAACCGAGCTTTCTCTAGCTCCAAGCCCAGCTCCTCCATGGAATTTCAACCTGTTTGAGCAATTCGGTCGATTGATGATGGATGAATCCGAATCGAATTGATCCATAGAGCGCACTCGAAGCGCTCTCGTTCAAATACCTTCCCGGTGATGGTGGGATTGATGTTTTTCCTTTGCCTTTTTATATGC